TATTAACCGCAAATGAAGTTGTAGAGGAAGTCAGGAAACAGAAAAGAAAAGGACTGGTGTTCAAAATAGACTTCGAGAAAGCTTATGATCATGTGGAATGGAACTTTTTAGATGATGTGCAGGAAAGAAAAGGTTTTGGAGCCAAATGGAGAAGTTGGATTAAAGGATGCTTGGAATCTGTCAACTTTTCTGTCATGATTAAGGGAAAACCAAGAGGAAAATTTAGGGCGTCAAGGGGACTAAGACAAGGGGACCCTTTATCACCATTCCTATTTACCTTGGTTAGCGATGTATTAAGCAGATTAATAGAAAGGGCTGCAGAAACTAACCTAGTACATGGTATTGTAACTGGGCATGACCAAGTGGAAGTGTCTCACCTCCAATTTGCGGATGATACCATTTTCCTTTTGGATGGTAAGGAAGAGTATTGGTTAAATCTGCTAGAGTTGTTGAAGCTGTTTTGTGATGTTTCCGGAATGAAGATTAATAAGGCTAAAAGTTGCATTTTAGGGATCAATTTTAACATCGAAGCACTGAATAGTATGGCGGGCAGGTGGGGATGTGAGGTAGGTTGCTGGCCTATGGTGTACTTGGGTCTTCCTCTTAGAGGAAACCCAAGAACTCTTAATTTCTGGAACCCAATAATGGACAAGGTGGAGAAAAGACTACAAAAATGGAAGAGGGCTTGTTTATCCAAAGGTGGAAGGTTAACGCTAATCCAAGCGGTGTTGAGCAGCATTCCTTCTTATTATATGTCATTATTGAAGATGCCTATAGGAGTGGCTGCCAAAGTTGAACAGCTTATGCGTAACTTCTTATGGGAAGCACTAGAAGAAGGGAAGATTAGCCACTTGGTGAGGTGGGAAAGGGTGACAAGATCGAAAGAGGCAGGTGGTCTCGGAATTGGCTCTTTAAGAGAAAAAAAATGAAGCCCTCAGAGCTAAGTGGTTGTGGAGATTTCCACTAGAATCCAACTCCATATGGCATAGGATCATTAAGAGCAAGTACGGAATCGACTCCAATGGGTGGGATACTAAACAGATAGCTAATGTGTCATGCAGGAATCCTTGGCGAGAGATTTCGAAAGGATATAATTCTTTCCTTCAATGCTGTAGATTTTCTGCTGGAAATGAGGAGAAAATCATATTTTGGGAAGACCTTTGGTTGAAAGAGGGGATACTGAAAAATCTGTTTCCTAGACCCTTTTCCTTGTCCAGGAAAACAAATCAAAGCATATCCCGTTTTGTGAACACTGGAGAACTACCTCTTAATTGGGATTTTGATTTCAGAAGAAATTTGTCCGAGGCTGAAATTGCAGAAGTGGTATTACTTTTGGATATATTAGGAAAGGTGAGATTAAACAGTTCTAGATTGGATCGGAGATCATGGGAGATCGAGGAGCAGGGTTCGTTTTCGTGTAAGTCTTTCAGATCTTTTCTTCTCTCTACATCCAGGGACGTCTTTCCCCCCTTCCTCTCAATCTGGAAGGCAAAGACACCTCTGAAAATTCAATTCTTTGTGTGGCTGGTAGCAAATGGCAAGATTAACACTTGCGATATCATTCAAAGGAGACAACCAAAGATGTGTTTATCCCCTTCTTGGTGTGTTCTTTGTAAAAAGAATGCAGAAAACATAGACCACTTGTTCATTCATTGTTCGTACTCCCTAAAATTATGGTGGAGGATGTTGGAAGCTCTTGGAGCGGAGTGGGTGATTCCTAGTGGGTGTCTTGAGCTCCTTAGTATCAAATTGGTGGTTTTGGGGAAGGGAAAGAGAGCTGGAATCCTAAGAGACTGTCTAGTTCATGCTATATTCTGGAATATTTGGATAGAGCGCAATCGAAGAATTTTTCAGGGTCACATAGGAGTAAGGGTTGAGGAATTATGGGATCGAGTTAAATTTTGGGCTTCTCTTTGGGCATCGGGTTCTGGGCAATTCAAGGATTATCACTACTCTATCATATTGAGAGACATCGCGGCAGTCTTAAGATGATTTTACCTAAAGTTTTGTTTTCTTCTTATAGTTTTATCTTCAGACTTAGCAGGCTAGATTTTCTTTAGTTGTTTCTGGAGTTTTCCTTTTATTGTTTGCTTGTTTTGATGCTCTAAGTGCCAAGTTGGTTGAAAGAGCTGGCTTCCAGTGCTGCTTCACCAGTGGTATGTGAATTTCTTTGATGTGGGTTTTCTATCTTGTTTGTAGATATTGGCATAATTGCATGATTTGGTATATGGGGTGGTATCAGACTATGGTTTTTGATTCAGGATTGATTATTGGTACTTTGGTATTGAGCATTTTTAGATAAGGGGTTGATTGGTTTTCTTTGTAATAGATATGTGGTTGATTATTGATGCTCATGCTGCCAGTGTGTTGTTTCTTGTTGTGGGAATATGGGAGTTGTCTTGATTATATACTCATTGTTATTGATACCCCTATTTCCAAAAGATTGAACTGTTGGGATGTGAGCCCACAATTCACTTGTGCATCTCTCTCCCTCATTAGCCCAACATGGGGAATTCAAATTATATTGGGAGGGTGCAATTGCAGGGATTCTAACTCAAGATATCATGTTCTGATATCCTGATAAAGTTTATTGGTTTAATGCTGTTCCACAAAAGCTTAAGCTATTAGAATATGGAATTTACATGTTCTATATTCTAACAGTTATATCTGATCTACAAGCTGCTGCAGCAGCTTTTCCATTGTTGGTGGCATCATTGTTGAACAAACTATCGTTACGTTGTCAACCAGACAAACAGGAAGTAATTGAAATAGAAATTGTTCAATCAAAGTAAAGTATTGCTTGTTATCTGAATGAACTCTAAAGCAGTCAAACGTAAAAGTCATATGTTAGCGTCCTTCTTTATTCATGTGAGTTTACAGGTTGTTCTTTTTAGATATTATCTATTCAAGATGTTCTGTATTGTGAGATATATATTTAGCTGTCCAGTAATTAGATTTTAACGCCTTTAACTGAATTTTAAGTGGGAAATTTGTTCACTGTGTATGCACTTGCTTTCATGCATGTTTAATTAAACCCTTTTAATTCTTTTATAAAAAAATCATAACACCTGAAAGCAAGTAACTGAAGTTGAGTTACTGCATATGGATCTGAGTTCTTGGTCATTTTGTGGTATATTTTCTTGTGTAAGTGTATAAACAGAGAAACAAGTTTATTAATGCCATTTTGTTCTTCAATTAGGATTTTCGATATCGGCTGCTAGATTAGGATTGCCAGATACAGGTTTGATATCCTATGGAGAAATGGTGGATCAGGGGCAACAAATTACCCAAGCTCTGTCAATTCCTGTTATCGGGGATGGGGATAATGGATACGGGAATGCAGTGAATGTTAAGAGAACTGTCAAGGGATATATTAAAGCTGGTTTTGCAGGGATTCTGCTTGAAGATCAGGTATAATATTAAAATATAATTTTTCATCCATGAATCTGCCTGTTTTCGTCTTCTTACT